GCCCAACCACGGCTTGGCTACCTGTCTGAGTTGTACCAATTTTGTTTCTGCTTCTATTTTGCGTTTGTGCGACGTGCACGAATGTGCTTGTGTTTGTCCGTTTCTTTCTTTCCTTCGGTCGACACTGTCCGTGCTGTGTGCTCACACATCGTACCTCTGGTGCCTTCGCTACCTCTGCTGCCTCTGATGATCGCGATTGCAGGTGGACGTGCGCGACGTCGCACTTGCTCACATCAAGGCCATGACTTCTCCAAAGGCTCAGGTTCGCCGCTTGTGTGCATGTGTGTGCATGTGTGTGTGTGTCTGTCTGTCTGTCGGTCTGTCTCTATGTCGGTTACGTGCATCATGGGAACCACTGCACGTGTGTACATACACATGTGCCTCCCCCCTCCTCCGCCCTTCGCTGGCTTGCTGTCTCACCCGGCCATCTCCACGCGCGCCTTTGTGCCGTTGTTCCCTTCTGTGTGCAGGGCCGCTACATCTGCAGTGCCAAGTCCATGTCTGTGCTTGAGATTGCCGCCGCCATCAGTGCCAAGTACCCAAACTACCGCGTTCCAACGTGAGTGACATAGCAGCACGCTTGTGTGGTGGCATGGTTGCAGGATTGTGGTCAATCCCTATTTCGCTCACCCTTTCTCACCAATATTGCCCCACCTCCATCACTACACACTCACACTCTCACTCACACGCACACTCACACTCACACACACTCTCTCCCACAACAACAACAACAACAACAACTTAAACAACAACAACGACCACCACCACCACAACAACAACAACAACAACTTAAACAACAACAACAACCAAAATTGGACACCGTGTGCAGGCGCAAGGTGCCAAAGTTCCTGCTGTATCTGTTTGGGCCGTTTCAGGGGCTGAGCTGGTCGTTCATCTCCCACAACGTCGGTGTTCCACTGGAGTTTGACAACTCCAAGATCAAGCGCGACCTCGACTTTGAGTTCAGAGACGTCGACACAAGTACGTGTGCGCAAACGCAAAGAAGAGAGGGGGAGGGACGATGTGTGTTTGGAGACAAGCGCGTGCCCCCCCCCCCTTCATCATCCTCTCTCTCTCTCCCTCTGTCTCTGTCACACAAATACACACACACTCTCTCTCTCCCTCTGTCTCTCTCTCTGTCACACAAATACACACACACTCTCTCTCATCCTTCCACCACCCTTCTCTTGCATACAGGCTTGGTTGAGATGGTGGACAGCATGGTGCAGCATGGCCTCATCCCTGACCGTCGTTGAGTCCGAGTGTGACACGTCTCTCCACGCCTTTGTTTGACTCCTACGCTCGCTCGTCCTTACGCCTGGCAGCCTTCACAAACACGACACAAACACACACACACACACGCACACACACGCACACAATGGTCCTATTGCTGCCTCTCCTATTGAATGGCAATTGAGAAATGGACAAAGCAGGAGCAGGATGCCCACAAATGAGAGTGACACACATAGACTGAGACTGAGAGACACACTGAGCTACAGACTCGCACACACGCACACGCACACAGACTCGCACACACGCACACACACACACACACACACACACACACACACACACACACACACACACACACACACACACACTCGACACACAGAGCATCTCGTCATCTCTTTTGGTCATCGAAAATTGCATGAAAATAATCCTTAGATTTCGGTGCCCAACACGACGCCATTCCACCCACCACCAACAACAATAAGCAAAAGCACCCACCCAAGCAAGCAAGCCCTCCTCCCATTGACACCAACACCACAACACCACGCCTTCCAGCATCGACAGCATCATCGGCGTTTTGCCCCTTGCTCTTCACACAGAGCTGACACACGTGCTGTGTTTGTAAACAAGAAGCTGTCCCCTTGTGCTTTCACCTTCCCGCTCTCTTGACTGCGTTCGACAACAACCACAAGTGAGTGAGTGCGAATGAAACACCTCTCAACACACAAAACACAGCTGCAGCTCTCTGTTTTGTCTTTTGTTCTCTTCTGCATGTGCATTGCTCCCTGCCCTGCGTCGACTCCATAAGACCCACCAACAACGAAATATCTCTTCTACACTGCATTGCTTTCACCCAGACTTACGACTCACACTTTGCATCCATTCTGCCCATCCACTTGTTTCACCACCACCTGCACACTGCACCTCCCCCCCCCCCTCCAAACCACCACTAGAACCAGCCCAAACACATCATCATCATCATAACCACCAGCAATGGCTGACACACTGGATGACCTTGAGCATGTGATGGGCCCAGACTTTGGGTTTGGGTACGACGACAAGCTGGGTGACCCCAACGTGAAGCCCAAGGTGCCGCCGCCGCCACGTGAGCTGCCGCAAGAGCGCACACCGGAGAGCCTGGTCATTACGTTCCCGGAGCAGCAGCAGTTTCTGGAGTGGCTGTCTGTGCAACTCGTGGCTGTGAAGCCCTCCACCAACCTCGACAACCCCTTTGCCAACTTCTCGTCCTCCGTGGCAGAGAACCGCACGTACACATGCAAGGAGGACCCGCGCACCGCCTCCCGCATGCTCCTCAACGGGCTGGTGCCCGGCACCAAGTACATTGCGCGCCTCGTGGTCAACAACCCCTCTGGCACTGTCAACGGCAAGCCATCTGAGGTGCTGCTCACGCCGCCAGTGGCACCGGAGGCGCCCAAGGTGAAGGCGGTCATGACCAAGTTTGACGCGCAGCTGCACTTTACGTTTCCAGCGCTGGGCCAGAACCTGACGCGGCTGATTGTGCAGTGCGTGGAGGAGGGCGACGGCGTTGTTGCGTTTGAGGATCACGAGCGCGTGATTGAGGCGTTTGTGCCCAGCCCACAGATTGCAACGGAGTGCGTGGTGGAGCGGCTGCGGCCGGGGACGCGGTTCATTGCCCGCCTCGTGTGCACGAACGAGGCCGGCATGGCGCTCGGCAGCGTGACGGAGCCCGTCATCACGCACCCGCGCGCGCACCAGCTGGTGGAGGACGTGACGCGGCGCACAAGCACCCAGGTCGTGTTTCGGTTTGACGACCACGGCCAGTCGCTCACGGTGCTGCGCATGCTCTGTGTGCGCGGCAAGGGGAAGGACTTTTCCAACGCAACGGCAGTGGACATTCCAAACCCGCAGACAACGACGCGGTGCATTGTGACGAAGCTTGAGCCAAACGTGCTGTACTCGTTCCGCCTGTATGCGGAGAACGAGAGTGGCGGGCAGATGGGCCCAATCTGCCAAGTCCGCACCATCGGTACGTCTTGTCAGGCAAGAGGGGAGGGGGGCAGGGAAGAGGCACACGCACTCTGTGCATGTGTGCGTGCGTGTACGTGTGTGTGTGTGCGTGTACGTGTGTGTGTGTGCGTGTGTGTGTGTGTGCGTGTGTACGTGTGTGTACGTGTGTGTGTGTGTGTGTGTGCGTGTGTGTGTGTGTGTGTGTGTGTGTGTGTGTGTGTGTGTGTGTGTGTG